GAATTTCCTTCCCAACTTTTTGTTTGAATTAGTGTGGAACATCTCTATCTTGATTATGTTATTATTTTCTCTATAAATTACATGTGCAATTTATTTTAGTTGTTGCTACTGTTGATAGTCCTCAAGTGATGTGGTTTCTGTTATTTGCTACAGTTCTTTGTGAGTCTGTAGTGCCAGTTCACAAAGTGAAAAGACAGACAGATCCTCACAGTTGTGTACACAGCTGACAGTTTAGATATTTCTGAAAGATCTTAGCACATGAATGACATCCATTTGAAAGTCTAGATTTGATGAATATCTTGTTTATTGAGTATTTTTACTGTGTTGTAAGCAAAATTTTATCTTAGGTTCTGATAATCTTGCATGGGAACACATGAGAATAATTGGAGATAGGAAGATTATGTTGCACCAATTTTTTAAGGGAAGAGTATTTGCATACTTTGCTTACTGTTGAATGATAACCACAAGTTTGCTATCTGTGTGTGCATTTTATATATATATATATATATATATATATATATATATATATATATATAGGGAAGAGGTTATAGTTGTTCCAACAAGAGAGAAGTGTATATTTTAAAAAGAAGAGAGAAAATGCAAATGTTTTGGGTTGTAACGTGGATTTTTTTAATTATATTTTCCATAATTTTGCTACATAAGTTTCCGGTCTCACAACTTTCTTCAGGCAAAGAGTGCATATTTCCACATATTATTGGACTTATTATTTATTTTATTACCCTTTAAGCAGAAGAACTTTCTTACCACCAGTCCAAGAAAAACATTTGTGTTACAGCTACCCAAGAAAAGAGAATATTTCACATTGAAAACCATAAGGAAAATTAATTCATTTTAATAATATGTGGAAATATCCACTGTTTGCCTGAAGAAGATTGAGACCAGAAACCCGTGTAGCAAAAAATTATGCAAAATATAATACATATATTTTTTTCGAAAATCCACATTACAACCAAAAACATTTGCAATTTCTCTATTCTTTTAAAAATATATATATATATATATATATATATATATATATATATATATATATATATATTTCTGTTTATACATTATTTTTATTGATACAACTTATTTGAGTAAATGCTCTGTTTTAATTAAACTGTATTAATGAAATATGGAAAACAACAACAATATTATGTGACATGCACCTAGATGAACAAAAGAAATATCAGGCAGCAATGCACAAGCCCAAATGAAGTACTCACAATTATGTATTCTTCTTTATGTACCATCAAGATGTAGGCGATAATGGCCGTCCTCATCTTCCTGACCCTTGTAGCTCTTAATAAATTTTGTCTATTTCTTATTTCTCTCAAATCCTGTTCTACCATCTATCTGCTCAAGTACATCAAGTATGTTACATGCTGCTTTCCTCTTGCCCCTCAATCTATCCTGTGAGTATCAGTTTTTCCATGCCCTACTTCCTCATTACATGCCTCAGAAATTTCAACTGCCTCTTCCTGATATGAAGTTTTCTTTTTGTTTCAATTTTCTCCAAAACCTTTTTGATGCTCATATGTCCAGTCCATAGTATCCTCAGCATCTTTCTGTAGGACCTCATTTCTGTTGCTTCAAATCTCTTCTTCCTCTTTGAGGAGATTGTCCAGCATTTGCTGTTCTTAGTTTCTAATGAAATTTTTCTGTTTCTTAATACTCTGCTTAGCTTTTGGAATGCATGTTTGACCATCCCAATACATCTTCAGATCTCAATGTCACACTTTCCATCCTCTGTTAAAACACTTCCCACATATTTAAATTTTTGTACTTACTTGATTTTAGCATCCCTGACTTGTTATTTTCATTCTGAGCTTATCCCTTTACTGATAGCCATACATTCTATCTATTAGTTTATACTTAGTCCTTTCTTCTCACTTTCCTTTGCTACCTTCTGTAGGATCTTTTGTAGTTTCCTTTCCATGTCTGCTATCAACACTGTATCATGTGCATATCTTATACTGTTAAAATCATGGCCACCAATGAAGAATTCTGGTATGACTTCTAGTTCTCTCAGAATCACCTCATTGTATAGGTTGAACAAATCCAGTAAGAAGACACATCCTTGTTTTACACCCCTTTCTATTTTTGCATATTTGCTGAATCATATGCAGGCAATTTGCTGCCAATATAGGTTCTGGATTATTCTAATCTCTTTTCCAAATATGTCAAAGGTTACTAAGCTCTGATCAAATTGTTTATGATGGTTCCTTCCTGAGAGATATGAACAGTAAGGGGCACCTTGTCATGCTCTGCCCATACTTCTTGCAGGTCACTGGTGGCCAAACTTTAGATTGAGGGCATAACCATCTGTGTTCTAATATGAATGTTTCAGCCACATGCATCCCCCTCCCCTGTGACCCAGGAGCAGCAATTTGAGAATTTTCATGATCATGTCACCCCCAACATACAGGTTCATTGATTTTGTAATGTGAACCCCACTGAAATATAATGTCTTCTTCATTGCTGAGAGAGAGTGACCAACCAAGATTCACAGAATAGCTAGGTTTATGGACACTATTGTAGACATGATGCCCAGTCTAAATGCAAATATTATCTAAGCATGCACTCAATTCTGCAGATGCATCAAAACTGCACTTGAAGCTGACAGCAGTTTTATTGAACGGTCTTTTTATAAATTGAACCTTTTTCTATTGAATATTGTTTTTCTGTATAATTTGGTCTCAGCTTCCTGACATACCCTCTTTGTTTGTTTGCATGGGTCTATATATATATATATATATATATATGCCAAAACTAATATGCAGCCTTTATTTCTGTGTTCACACATCTTTTTGTGTGGGTTGGTGCAGAAAAATTCTGATATAAATAAAAATATATCTGTAAAACAACAATATGAACAAAGACAAAAGGAAAACTTATTGTAGCCAACACATTTCATCCTTTCAGGCAATTCTAATGATTTTATTTTGTAACAAGTACATATAAACAAAAGTAAAGATGTTAGTTTTACAGAATTTTTAAATTTAAGAATGCTCATAAATATTTATTAAAAGAGAAAGTAATTACTTAAACAGAAAATTCTTGAGAGTGCTGCAATTGAATGTGACCAAAATATAAATCTTCACACTGAATTTTTCAAATATTATCCTTCCTAAAAGAAATACCTCTTTCCCAAGCCAACATATATGATGTAAAAATTTTTAAAAATTGAAAGAAAATTGTGAAATTCAAAACCTTCTATTATTTCAAATATATAATACATCAAGTTATCAAACTAAAATAATAAATAAGTACATTATAAAAACATTCAACATCTTTCATTTATTCCACATTATATCACTTAACATCCTACATAATTTGACTTTTAGTTAGCCTGAAGTATATTAATGAATCTTCTTAAATTTAAAAATTCGAAAAACTAACATTTTTCTTCTGTTTATAAATAATTCTTGCAAAATAAGTCCATCAGAGAACAAAATGTGTCAGCTAAGATAAGTTTTCCTTTTGTCTTCTTTATATATATATATATTAGAGTATGTGTGTGTTTGACTGCTGACTAGTAAAACCCATACATATATATTTTATTACTTTTACATTAATCATATATATTTACATATAGACAACAACTCTATTTCTACTGAGAATTGTAAAGACCAGTTTCAAACATTTTGATTACTAGACAATTCCCAACACTTAACAGCTGGTCAGCTAAGCTTTGTAAAACAATCGATCCTAAGATCTATTGTGTCACTATTATGCAAACAAGTGGCTAGAGGAAAAAGCTGACTCAGTAGCCAGCTTGTCCAACAACAATGACCCACACAAAGAAATCAGATTTATTTTATTTACAGGGTTTTTGTTTTTACTTTGTCACAAAGTTTTTTTGTTAATTTTGTTGGGATCTGAGCCGAGTCCTTGAAAGATTTATTTTGTCCAGCCATCTATTTGTTCAGCAACTGCAACAAATCGAAAGCCAGATGCACAAGCCTTTAAACATTTTGAGTTTCTCTTTTTGAATGAAAGAATCATGCATAATTAGAAAATTGTACAAATGTCTACAAATTCTTGTTTGATTGCATTTAAGTTGTTTAAAAGGAAAAAGTAACAGGTAATTTCTTTCAGAGGCAGAATGGGGCACTTTCAATGAGCAGCTTAATTAGTTAACATGAAATAATGTCTTTTATTATTACAACAAAAACTGAGACAGAAATAGTTGGTTATGCTCATTTTGAGATTCTTATCACTGGTATTTAAATAAAAGTGTGTTTCAAGTCATAAATACAGTTTTTGATTATGAAACAAAACTTTTAGATATAAAACACAAGGAAATGATTTGAAGAAATTTTTACTTGCTAATAAGTCATACAATAATCAAAAGATTGCTGAACTGTGATGTAATAGTCATCCCCTTACATGCTGGAAATTTCCTCACAGATGAAGAGACATGAGACAACAGATGTGGTTCTACAGAATGATGTTGAGAATACAATGGACACAGCAGGTGCACAATGAAGAAGTTTTAAGGAGAATTGGAAAAAAAGAATATTTATGCTTAAGATCAGAAAGAGTTGAAATTTCTGGGGCACATAATAAGGAAAGAAGGTTTGGAGAATTTGATACTCAAGGGACATAATGAAAGCAAGACAGAGAAAAACATTGAGTAACCTACTCAAATAGCTTGTATAAATGGATAGAAGAACAATGAGTGTGAGGTATACTAAGAAGACAAACATTGCTGAAATTCATTTTCTACAGCTTATCAACCCTTTTTTAGGTTATTTAAAGCCAGAAAATATTTTTAGATTGGAAGAATTTTGCTGGAAGATAATAATGGTTTAATAATATCATTTAATAATAATGATGATGATGGATACAACCCATATCTGGGAGGAGAAGAGGTGTATTTATATCTTTCCTAAGGGTATTATGAATGTAAGTGACTATAACAAAACCAATTGGAACTTAGCTCTCCAATTAACAATTCCAAGTCATTATCCATTACACCATCCACACATCCAAACTTACAGCACCTGGTATTCCCATGTGGTCACCCATCTAAGAACTGACCAGGCTTATTATTGCTTAACTTCAGTGATTGTACAGGAACTGGTGTTTCAACATGAAAACATAAACTAAAGTGGCAAATGATTGGAAGTTGAGGGTGGCTATAAATGCCATCATCCTAAAGGGATATGGCACATAGAAGAGAAAAAAAAAGGAATGTCATATTTTGCCAATATTTTGCTAATGACATAATGCAACTTTTCTGCTTTTAAAGTGCCTGAAAAATCAGAGAATTAAAAGCCAGGCCTATGAGAGAGGGTGTAAAATATATTTGAGAAATGTTTACATATATTAAAGTTGGGTATTTACAAATGAGTGTAGATAGAAACAATAGAGAGGATAAGGAACCTGAAAAACTTTCTAGTCACTGATAAAATGTCTTTTGGAAGGTCTAATTAATTTAATATTTTTTGGATTAAATTAATCTTACAAAGAAATGAATCAAATATGTTCACAAAAATATAGATTAATATTAAAAAATAACATTGCAGGCTTTAAAATGAAAATGAAACTTTACAAGGATACAGACAACATTTGCCTAACAGAATAAGTAAAACATTATCAATAAATGAATATATAATGTATGAATGCTCTTTGAAATGTTGAGTTACTGTATGAAAGCATTCCATCATTAATAAGCAGTTCTCATAAAAAAAAAGGATGATACTTTATTGTCATATATAGAAGGTCCACAGGTTACATCAAACCTGACATATGGCATTTCGTGGTTATGGTGCCATCTCCCTTAATATAATACGTCATCACACAGTGCTATATGAGTAAGATAGAATTGTTTCTTCTCCAGCTATATGCCATATTGGATTGTGTTACATTCGCTATCTCTCAGTTCTATCATTTTTTTTGCTTGTTTTTTTTTTTTTTTTTTAACATTTTGCCCTTCATTATGGCTCCCAAACATAAGGCAGACTCATGGGTACTTATGTACAGGAGTCCTAGCTTATGTTGAAAATCAGATTATGTAGTGCTGTAGAAAGAGATTTCCAAGTACCCCAGTAATCTGATAGTAAAGAAATCTCTAACATTTATTTGTTCTTTTGTGTTGAAAATCATAAATATTTTATTTCATACCTTTATGCATAAAATTTTTACAGATTTAAAAAAGACATATCCACGGTTATTACTTTCACTGTTTCTCAATATATTTTATAAACCAATACTTGGTATTTCTTAATGTAGTTAACTGTGTGGCAAACTCAAGTATTTTACTAAGAAGACTATCTTATCACTCACACACGCTCTTACTTTATATAAGGGAAAAGTTGAAAAATTTTTTTTCAGGTGATGCATTTCATCCTTCAGGACTTGATAAGACAAAGTTTATGTTGATGTGGCTACACATTTACAGATGCTGGGAATTTCATTTAATTTTTTTTCTTTTTGTTTGTGTCCATCACTTTTGACCAACAAAAAGTAAAGAAAAAAACTAATTACCATGAGTAATTTCATATATTTAATTCTGAGGATATCAAATGAACATGCACATGCATAAAACTTTTAGGTCTATTAGATAATTTTTTTTTATAATTTTAATTAGGATAGGTCCTGCTTACCTTGCTGATCCAAATTGTATGATAGATATATATTATGTTGGACAGTTTGCAATTAAAACCACTATACGAAGCTTAGAATGGCTCATGATCAAACATAATAGACATTCATTGTCTGTTATATTTAACAATATATGTTTGAATATGTAAAAACAACACTTACCCCCCCCCCAGGATTTTGAATACAGATGCCAGGAAGAGCCAACTAACTAATACTTCTGGCTCTGCTATTGCTGAGCATGTAATAAATAGCAGGAAATGTGTGGTTGATTTTAGTGATGACTGTTTTTCAATTTTATCTTGGTCCCACTCCACATTTCACCTCAAGGTTCTAAAGTCCTTGTATATCAGATCCCGTGGGCCTTCCCTTTGTAAACAGAGTGAATGCTTACTGGGTCTGAATGTTATTGGGCTCCAGTTTCTTGAAATTCATATCCCCCCCCACACACACACACCATTCCATTTGTTAGTTTAATTTACATGCTTTTATATTTTTTATTCCCAGAAAAATAAACTTGATAAGTCCTGGAACGAAACCAGTTATTCTTTTTAAAAAAATGCCATATAAATTTTGCCTTTTCCTAGTTATTATTTAATAACCACAAAAAAAACATATATATATATAATATATTCCTCATTTGATAGAACTGAATTGCTCATTTGGCAACTTTTAATATGATTAATTATATAATAACATCAGTCTTATGAACTGCTCACAAATTTAACAATATCATTATGTATGAGTACAGAAAGCTGACTCAATACCCAGTAGACAGGTTTTTGAGAGAAAATGTTGCCATTTGCATTATGATTGCATAGTTATTGGCAGTTTTATACTTCAAGCTTTGGTCATTGAAAAATAGAACAGTCACAATACAGTGTTGATTCCTATGTCCACACCATCAATATCTATAAACATTCTATCTCCAATATTGGGCACTATTCCTCAATAAATATAGCAAATTTTAACAAATATATATGAATGTGCTTGACATTTTTCTACATCATTGCTACAGAAAGGGGAATTGCCCATCTCTTTTGATGACATAATAGAAAACTAGTTTTCTGTTAATTTAAACTTGTAAATAAAATGCCATAATTCAGGTTTTAGATGTTTAGCTCACTGATAAATGGATATTGTCATTGCATTGTGCAATGAAGTTTTTTTTATATATTTTACAAGTCTTATCATGATGATGCAATAATATTCCACTTTGGATAGAAAGAAACCATTTCTACTTCCTTTAATAGTCTTGAATGATGCTTGATGCTTATTTTATACATTCTTAATTATTCAAAATTTGGTTTCATGTTATTTTTAGTAAGGTCATTTTACTTTCTTTGACACAATCATTGATTAATCAATAAACAAAATTTAGGTAATTAAAAGCAGAATTGGACTGAGAATTAAAAAAAAAAAAAGGATCCTAACTTTGAAGCCATATTCTATCTTTGGCATTAATGATCAAAACTCTTTACTATTTTTTACTGCTCTTGTTTTTCAAGTAGAAGAATTTCCTTGTACAGTGCTTGTAAATCTTTTTAAAAAGTTTTATCTTTTCCCATTTATCTTTTCTTTTTTTTTTCTTTTTTTTCTGTTTCCACATATTTATTTTCCTTAAACATTCCCAATTCCACCTCTCCTTTTTTTTGGTTATCTGCTATAACAGAAAAATCAATATTTCAGATCATATCGGAAGCCAGCTTTGCCTTCAGTGGTTTCAGATAATTGGTTATTAGCTGTCCCAGTTAAATATAATGAATTGATTTTTGTATATGTCCTCTGCTTCCTAGTAATCATTTTACAACATTTCATACCTTCTTGTCAGACTGAACTGAAAATTATGTCATAACAGAAATCTATGCTTTATACACTTCATTTACCATTATTAGACACTTCTTGTTTTATCAATAAACTAGCAGTATAACCTGCCTTGGACCGGGTGTTTCAGTACTGGAAATTTCTGCCGTTCAACTGGAGCAGTTTAAGTTTAAAATCAACCCACCTGAAAATCAATATTAGTAACAACAATTGGATGCAACTGAGGCACATCCCCAAATGGGGGCGGGGTACAATTTGAATGGGTCGGGTGGCCCTGAAAAGGGCCGTTTTTGCATTCACAATCTTGCAAGGAAGGAACCTCTTCCATGGACCATCATAATAATAATATACAATAATTTTTATTTATAATGTCATTTTTTTTTTTTTATAATTCTAATAATCTTTTGCATTTGATTTCAACTAAATTGATTGTACACTGTTTTTTAACAGACATTAAATTTTGCCTTTGATTTTTGTGCAAAGTGTAAAAAAAATCAGTTTTTTCAATTTTTAACCTTCAAAGTTGTAATTTTTTTTTGCAAATTTGAACTCAAAACCGGCACTGAAGAATTATCTATCAAACAAAAAAATTTCATTGAAATCAGATGAAAACTGTGGAAACGCATAAACAACATCTGATCACACATCCACACATACATTTTGAGAATTATAGATATAGATAAATACCTATCAAAACCTAAATGTTCTTTTGCTGAGTGGTGACTTCATTCTCTGCAGAAGTAAATAAAGAGTGGCCATTTGTAGAAACAATGCTCTAAATTTTCTAAGTTTCAAAGGAACAACCATATTGTGAATAACATTGATTTGGTTCACAAAGAGAAACGGTTAATAACTTGAGGTTTGCAAAAGGTTAAAAAAAAACAAAAAAAAAAAAATGCTAGAAATAACAAATATTATTGGTAGGTTTTACTGAGCTGCAAATAAGTTTGAACATCTTGGATGACTCCAAAGAAGTATGTAAAACTTTAAGGACTTTAACATAACAATCTGTCCTGTACCAAAAGAGAAATGCTTAAAAAAAACCCAAAAAAAACAAAACAAAAAACTCTCTTTGTCAAGCCATGAACATTTTAGGCCTTGTGGCAATAAGGAAGTACAAGATGTCAGTGACAAATATATATATGAGACTAATCACTAGAACTTCTTTAAAAGACATCCAAAATATAAAAAAATGATATACACAGGAGAATACATGAAAATTGCTTTCTCTATCTTTCTTGATTTTCACTGATGAATGGGCACATGGCTGAGTGCTTAGAACATTTACATTCTAACCAAGAGACCCAGGTTCGAATCTCACCATGGTTGATTTGGCAGAAAGGAGACTTCCTGATGTTATCAGACTGGAGGGGTCGATCCCAGCATGCAGCACCTTTGAAAAGTGCCTCAAAACCATACAAGTTGACCCAAGCCTTGTGAGTGAAATTGGGTAGATGGAACCCTTGGGGACAGTTGATAGCTGTGCTAGCATGGAGTCCCAAGTCATCATGGCCGAGGGCTTGAGCGTGTTGGCTTTGTTCAAATTGTTGATCACACTAGATAACATGCTCTTTCCCATAAACTTTAACTAAGGTCTGTTCAGCATAGTTGCAGTATAAACCACAGGTAGGCTCCTTGGGTATTGAATAAACACAAATGTGCCT